ACTTCAGACGTTGATCTCAATACACATAAAATAATAAATTTAGTTGATCCTACTAATGCACAGGATGCAGCAACAAAACATTATGTAGATAATAATCAAACTTCTAGCAGTGCATGTCTAAAACTAGATGGAACTAATAGTATGAGTGCTAATATTAATTTGAATTCACATAAATTGATTAATGTAGTTGATCCTACTAATGCACAGGATGCAGCTACAAAGCATTATGTAGATAATAATCAGATTTCTAGCAGTATGTATCTAAGAACTGATGGTTATAATCCTGCAACTGCTAATATAAATTTAAATACAAATAAACTCATCAATGTAGCTAATCCTACTGATGCACAAGATGCAGTTACAAAGAGCTATGTTGACGATATGCAAAATCAAAGTTTAGATATCATTCCCAATACAAGTTTAATATGCTTTGGACAAAAATCTCAAGCATTCTATGCAACTCCAGGATCATATACTATTTTTAGCTATAGTGGTAGTTCAGGAATTCTAAGAAAACTATGGATTGCATTTACAGGATCTACTATTGCACCTAATACTGTACCAGGTAACTTGTTTTTAAAAATATATGCTGACAATGTACTTTGCATAGGTAATGATTCTATTATAACAGATGGTGTAGGTATTAATAATACAGCTTTAGCTTGTGATTTAATAATTGCACCACTTGGAGGACCTTATTATGCAAACTCTTTACAAGGATGTAATGTATATAGTACAAGTGCATTAGGAGGATACTTTGCATTTGATCTTCCTTTTACATCAAGTTTGAATATACAATTATACAATAAAACAGGAAATTCAGTGACCTTTTGGTTACAACCTTTTATCACAAGAACTTCATCGTTGCAACAAACATTAACTAGTATTAATCCGTTAATACCTCGATCCATCTCATCCATTAAGTTGTACTCAACAACATTTAGATAAATAAATACAACTTATGGTAGTGAATATATGCTAATGAATGCTATGGATAATGGAAACGGAGTGTATTTGAAATACATTAGAATGCATGTTATTGGAGGATCTGGAAACTGGTGGGAATCTAGAGTTATTGAAAAACTACATTTATATATATATATATATATATATATATATATATATATATATACATATATATATATATATATATATATATATATATATATATATATATATATATATATATATATATATATATATATATATATATATATATATATATATATATATATATATATATATATATATATATAAATGTAGTTTTTCAATAACAGAAGAACTTTGTTTTTATAGATTTTTAATTTTTAAATTCTGATTAATAATATCTAAACAGATAATAATAAATGTAATGCTGTATACATTACGATTCTGTTTAAGAAACAAAAACCGTTTATTTGTCGAGTCTAGAACCTTTCCAAATGTTATTGATTGCTGCCAAGATTCGAGATGATGTTAAAGTAATGCACATAGCAAGCAACATTAAAGAAGGTACTCAAATCATGTAGATCTTTATTTGTAAACACCAAAGGGGTAAAGAGGATCAGAGAAGCAAAAATTAAAATAAAAACCCTGATCAAAATTGATGTCCATTCATACTCTTACTTCTCACCTTAAAGTCTGTCTTACTTCTCTTACCATTCTTTCTTACCATTACCATTACCATCTTACCATCTTACTTACCATTCATACTTTTACTTCTCACCTTAAAGTCACCTAAAGTCTTCTCACCTTAAAGTCTCACCTTAAAGTCTAAAATGTGTTTATTTCAATGCAAGATCATTAAACAACAAATTAGTAAACCTAAACAACCTACTCCAATACAGATGAAATCATCCGTATCACAGAGACTTGCCTCAACAATACCACTCCTGACTCGTTACTGTTAAACGGCAACTGTTATAATCTATCCCAGCATGACTGTGACGGCAAAGGTGGCGGCTCACTAATCTTAGTACGCAGTGATATCTATGAGTTTCAAATTTGTTATGAAATTCCTGTTGATCTTCAAAACACTGAAATTACCTGCATCGACGTTAATGCGTTAACAAATCTTTGCTAGACTAGATTTGTGTGCATTTACCATCCACCTTGTGCAGCATCAAATATTACCATCCACCTTGTGCAGCATCAAAGTTACCATCCACCTTGTGCAGCATCAAATATAAAAACCAAATCTGTGTGCAGGTTGTTTTGCATATTACTGTCAACATGTGATTCTGCTTGTGTAATAGCAAGCTATTTCAACTTACCACATATCAACTAGTCGATTCCTATTAGTTTTGGTGATGTTAACTCGTAGCCCAATCTACTAGACTCGACAATCTTGTAGACCTCATTTTAACAAACGATATTCAAACGGTGTATAATGTGGATGCTACCGCCCCATTTATTAGCACTTGTGACCACTGCACTATCCAATTTAATTGTCTAAATGCAACTTTTACAAAGCAGATTATAATTCAATTCAAAATGACTTAATAAATGTAAATTGGTTTATGCTAGCCAAACAATCCCAAGATATTGAAACCTTCTGGCAATCTATATGTGATGTCTTGAATTCTTCTATATATTCTCATGTTTCCGTACTTTGTTCTAAAACAAATCATGTTTAACCCCCTGCCATTCGCAAATTAGCATCTAAAGTATGTATTTTGTACAGACATTATAAAAGATCACATGATAATTTCTTTCTTACCAATTACTAAAGTTGTTCTGGTTTATACAATGCTGCGTTTATTAGAAACTGTATTGGTAGAGAAAAAAACATAGAAGAAAAAGCTAATTTAATGCAATTTTACTCGTACATTTTACATACACTCGTACAAGTGCAAATCTACCTGTCCAAATTCTGTTTCGCCTCTTGTTAAAATCGCAGCGTTTTCTTTGTACTGATGACAACGGTACCACACTAGGGTTAAATCTTTTATCTCATGATAATTCTCTGAATAATGTTATTTTTTCTTATGACTCTGTTGTATCTGCTCTTCAAAAACTTCTACCTAAGTCATCAAATTAACCCAATGGATTTGCCGCTATATTTCTAAAATCATTTGCTACTATTATTGCTACTACTATTGCTATTTGCTACTACTATTGCTGTCAATTTAATCCCTTTTGGATTATCTATGTTAACCAGTGTCGTCCCAAAAATTTGGAAAACTGCTATTATTTACCCAATTTTCAAAAAAAGTAACCCTTTCTTACCTTCTATCTACAAGTTATCTTTTACTGAATAACTTTATCTCTATCCATCAGTTTAGCTTCCTAAAACACAGATCCACATTTACACAAATGTTACCTTCTAGACCACGGCTGTTAACAAACATAAGGTTTTGATATTATCTATATTGATTCTGAAAAGGCTTTCGATTCTGTCTCACATCCCTAATTATATCACAAATTAAAATCTTATGATATTAAGCACGAACTGCTATACTGGAAAACAAACTTTCTAACTGACCAGGCTCAATGTGTCTGCATTAGTAACTCTTACTCATATTGTGTATCTTTCAAGAATGGATTACCTTAAGGAACTGTATTGACTCTTACTTTATTTTAATATTTATCAACGATATAATCTCAATTATTGAGGGTGACTGCGGAATGAAGCTGTTTGCAGATGATATCAAGTTATACCAAGAGAGAGATCAAAGCATAAGCATTAATGCTGACCTTGTAAATTCCTTAAAAAACTTTTACAATTGGACAACTCATTGGCAACTAAAAATAGAGTTCAATATATGTTTCCACATACGCTTTAGGAAGTGTTCTTTACCTGTTCCCTCGTATTCCCGACACCGTTCCCTCGTATGTCCCGACACTGTGATAAATACTGCTAACTTATTGGCAACTAAAAATACTGTTAACTTATTGGCAACTAAAAATAGAGTTAGAGATAAATACTGTTAACTTATTTATCTCTAACTCTATTTTTAGTTCCACATACGCTTCCACATACGCTTTAGGAAGTGTTCTTTACCTGTTCCCTTGTATTTATTTTGTCCCAACACCATGATAAATACTGTTAATTGTATTGATGATATTGGTATTACTGTATCATCTGATACAAAATTCTCCAAGCATTGTTCTCATATTGCCAAAAAAAGCCTACTCTTTTATAGTAAAAGCCTACAAGTCTATGTGCAACCTATTTTAGAGTCTTGTACCCCAGTGTGGAGCCCTTATATTCTAAAAAATATTCATTGTACCAAAAATGTTCAGAGATATTTAAGCAGAATTACCTGTAAAAGATGCCATGTTTCTTATTCTGATTACATATTGAGACTAACTCTTCTAAATCTCGATTCTCTTGAATACCGTAGAGTTTAATTTGATCTTGTTATGGTATACAAAATTGTACACAATCTCGTCGACTTACCTTTTTCCAGTTTTTCTACCTTTTTAAACTCTCACTACAATACTAGATGTCATGCTAAAAAAATTATATCACGCAATATATGTACAAACGATTGCTGTAAATTTTTCTTCAGTGAAAGAACTGTAAAATTATTTATTAGCTCACATTGTTGATTTTCCTTATTTATCAATGTTCAAAAGAAAGTTAAATAATTATGATTCACAACGCAATTGCGTACTCTATTAATTTGTATTGTAATTATCTCTATCTTTTTTTATGTTAGTAGTATTACGTAAGCGTAATCTTGTGATTACCTGTTACACCTTTTCGTATTTAATTTAAATGCAAATAAACATTATTATTACCTGTAATTTAAAAATATGTCCGTATTTGGGCATATTATGTCCTTTCAGAGCCCAAAATGATCACTTAGCTAAAAAAAGAAGTCCACCACCTGTTTTTTGTTTCTACATATAATAATGGTTTAAAAATATCTTACATTACATGGTGCAAATATAAAATCTTAAAATTTTATGTACATAATCCCTTGGTCTATATAAGGTTTCTTTATAATTTTAAATAATTTTTTTATACAAAAATACCATAAAGTAGCTATTATAATTTTTGTAATTTTTTATAGATGGCATACACCTAAAACCAAATCTTGTCATATCCCATCAAAAAATATGTCATCTGTTTCTTTTGCACCTGTTAAGGAAAGAGTACTAACTCACACTCAGCGATACCAGACAGTAATGTCATATTTACAACCAATAGCTTCAATTCTTGCAGATCTTCCTCCTTCAAGTTTTGTTAGTGTATTGGAATGGGTAAAAACGTTGGAAAATCACAGTCGCACCACTCAATGGATGTCAACAAACCCAAATATCCAAAGTAATGACTCAACAGATTTAAATATAAGGAACTCTTCCGAAATTGGTAATAGATTTTATTTCTTTGAATGTGTTTAAATAATTTGGTTTAAATAAAAAAGAAATAATATAATAGGACAAAAGTAATAAATACTTTTAAATATAAAAGTTAATTGTTGTAAATATGTATATATATAATAGTAATTCAAGATGATGTATTAGGACTTGATGATATAGAAGAACGATTTGACTTTTCAATTCATCAGAAAGAGTCAGAGCAGTGCAAAGAAGAACCAAATGAGCATGAAATTCAAGGAAAAGAAATTGACCAAATCAAAAATGACGAAATTCCAACAAAGTTATTTAGCCAGCTAACTCTTTTATTAAAACCTATTGTCAGAAAATCTTCAGGCAGACCATTAAACTTAAAGCAGCGGTTCTTTTACCATGCACCTAAAAAGTATGAAAAGTTGCGCCCAATAGATAGACAAATTTTAACTTTGCGATGGTTAGTGTCCGATGACGATGCTAATAAAGCCATAAATTTGTGTTCAAAATTGTCAACTACATCATTGAAATCAGTTGTTGATATGCGAGCTGCTGATCCTAGAGTCGATATTCATCACTTTAAACAATTTTTTGATAATTCGGCATGGATGGCATTGGAAAACCAAATCAAAAATTTAAACAACGTCAGACGATGTTGTGCTCTTTGCCATCAGGAAGATGATCTAGCAACAACTATTGTTGGTAAAAAAAAAAAAAAATTGTTGGCTTCAATGCGATAGATGTTTATCATGGAACCACTTTGGTTGCTTAGGTCTTGAGCGAAAACCAATAAGTAGTTGGTTTTGTGGGGAATGCAGTTTCTAAATTTTGATAATTTTTAAATTATTGTTTTAGGTTGATCTTATTATTATTTTGTGTAAGTTTGTTATATTAAAATTAGTGTTTTAGTTTATTTTTTATTTTTGTTAAATAAAAGTTTAATTATTTATAAATTGTTTATTTAACGAAAACCATAATCAAAAGTAAAATATAGTTAACTAGTATTTGTTTTTTAATGTGACCGTTGCTTTTATTTATATACTAATATATACCGAATATTTTATTAGATAAATTTTGACAAGAGATATTTTTAATATACTGATATTTACTAATAGCACATATTTATGTTTAATCAATTTTTGTTTACTGTATTATATGATTCAGACACATACTTGTCTTTTATACTTTGTAATCTAAATAATTTGAGTCCGGATGAAGTGACACTATATCCGTTCCCACACTATAGATTTGCATTTAAAAAATATAAACAGCATTTTGTAAGGAATGCCGAAATTATAATCATATTTATGTTTTTAACAGTATGCCGATATTCAAGCTATAGTATGTCCAATACTATAGAAATTTAAAAAAAAATCAATAAATAAATAAAATTTCAATAATAATATAAATATATTTAATAAAATCAAAAAGAACTATAAATATTGATCTGAACTAGCTTATCATAAATTCTTATTCTAAGCAATGCAAACGTGGCGTAGTTGTAAGAACGCATGCCTTAAAAGCAGGAGATGTTACAGATGCCTACACAATAAAAATAAATACTAATAAAAATACAATACAAACAAAAAAATGTAAGCAATTCAAATTTTAATGTTCACTGCAATATATTTGAGAATATATAATACAGCTAAGTCTATTATAATGTTCTACAATTATAATGTTCTATATTCTTAAATGTTTCACTACTTTATAGTTGGATGTATCCGTTGATCTGATTATTTTAGTTGTGTTGAAAAAATTATTTCACCCATTATCACAGCATTCCCAAACCACGTGCCTCGGAAACAAAAAAACGCTTGGTTCAAACCCCACTTCTGGGCAAGTTTTGCGATAATAAATAAGCACTTGCACTTATTTTTGATTAGCCGGATTTTTTGAAGAATCTTTTCACACAAAGTTTAGGATGTCTACTTTGTATTTCTCGTTATTATAATTTTGTATCTATTGGTATAACAACGTAAATTACTCCGTATCGTTTTGATCATAGGAAACAGTTACTAAGTATTTGTTAGACCAGTCTTGTCTATAAGATAATTACTAGGGTTAAAAAGAAACAGAATCTATGGCAACGCTAGGTGCTCATGTGATTTTTTAAAAGTTATTTAGGAGTTATCGGTCTCATCACAGAAAACTGCAAAAAAAGGTTTTAGTCAGAAAGTTTACCCCTCCTTCCTTACCAATGATGCATATATTGTAAGCCGGTCTCAAACCACGGATCGCAGAAGTGCTCTTCAGGTGGTCTTATGTATTATTAAACTGAAGGAGATGACTGGAACATCAGATGTAGATTTATCAGGTGATGCGTCATGGCAGAGGAGAGGATTTTTGTCATTAAATGGATTTGTATTGTTAATTTGTGTTGAATTGGGTAAATGTACTAATTATCGTATTAAATAATTGCACCATGTGTGATACTTGAGACAATAAAAAAGACTCGAATATTATGTTTTTTGTAAAACAAAAGTTGCTAAGGATTTGGTTCTATGGGACCTAGTGGTGTAGTCGCTATGTTCGTACGTCAGAACAGTTCAAGGTTTGCGATATACTGAATGGAGATACAAATGAAAAAAACCTTAACTCTGAAAGGAGAAAGTGTTTTAAAAACGATACTAGTGAAAAGAAGTGAATTCTTATGGTGCTGGTTTTAATTTACTTGATGCATTGTCATTTATTATTTAGAGTTATTGTAAAAATTTTTAGCTGCTTTTTTTGAAAATCAACATTTTTTAACCGCACTGGGTGTCTAGTATTGATATTGTGCTACTTCAATTTTAAGAATTTTTTTTTTTTTTTTTTTTTTGGTGGCGGGGGGGGGGGGGTTCACAGTTACGATATAGTAAAAAAAAGGTACTAAAGTGGTATACTGTTATTTTTTTTGATTATCTTTATTAAAAAAGAAAAAAATTTAATCAAAATATTCTTTAACTGACTAATATACTTTTTAAAGATGACCATAGATGATTAATAAATTTTTGAAATCAGACCTCTCAGAAATCTCATACCAAATTAAGAAATAAGAGTGTCATGATAATTAACCAACTAAATCGGCTTTTAGTCTATTATTAGGAGATCCATAGTTGATTGAATACTCAATTTTTTCAAAGTTACCTATTTTCAATTATTTTAGAAAAGTCACTTGATTATAAATGACTTTTAGTTGACTTAATCAAATTAAATTACAACACAAGGTAATATTGCAAAATAAAAATAACTATATATAATTGATCGGAATTTTTTAATGGAATCATGCACTTTTACGAAACTAGAAATAAACTTTTACAAAAAAATATTTTTAAAATATAAATAAGTCTCTTTTTAAACTTAAAGAATTTTGTAAAGCATCAAGTTCTTTTCGTTTTAAAAGTTTTTCTTTCATTAAATCATCATTTGGTGCTTGAATTAGTTTCTTCTTTTAAACACCATTAATTTCGACATTTCTTTTTGAACTTACAGTTGATAATGCTTTTACTTTTTTGGAAGTTTCAAACGCAACTTAATATTACATTCTAGATGATTTTACATATTTTAACATTTCTCTAGTAATTGGAATAAATGGATCATTTTGTTGCTTTAATGATATGTGATCATTTACAATTCTTAAGAAAATCTTCATATGAATTTTTCAGGTTAAGGTAATAATATGAAAGTACCAAATCTAGCTTTTAATTTTATATGACGGCTTTAAAAGTCTATCAAAAATTTATATTAGAACCATCCACACTGATGTGTATTATGCATGAATTTCATATTAAGCTTAACTTTCACGAGAAACACAAAGAAATTTTTTTACAACTTTTTAGCAGTGCAATCACATGCAATGACAAATCCACAGAATGTAACTTTAATGCAGCTAATTTTTAAGACCAATATTGTACATACTTATTATGTTTAGTAATTGTTGAACTGTAGAATCGTTAAATTTAAATTTGAGAAGAGATAAATTCAAATCTTGTAACAATAACTTCGATATAAAAACACTTCAGATTGAATGGTGCATTAGGACTTTGTTTTGCTTTATTTAAATCTTCTGGCAATTTTTAAATATGAAAACATCTTGATTGATCAAGTTTAAAGAATTATTAGTTTTACTTAAAACCATGAAGGTTTTAGCTTTTAAAATCTCTTTCTTAAGAATGTAACAAACCATTAAAGCTTTTAGCAAAATATCTATCTTTATTTTTATTCTACTTATTTTCATTAAACATTGACTTATAAAATTTGATAATTGCATTGCTACTTAGTGTCCTTGCTCTATTTCCACTGACTATAAAAAAATATTTTATGACATAACTTGAAATATGTAGAATAATGATTACCATAACATACTTGAATCCATTTAAAGTCAGACTCTTGCAACTTAGTATATTTTATTTTTCTCTTAGATATCTTAAAAATATAAATAAACAGTTAAACTTTTTAAAATTTAATGAAGAAATTTAAAAACTTTAAATTTCTTCATTAATTTGTACAATTTTTTATACTTGAGATAGTGATTATTGAAAGACATTTAAAAATTTAAGAAAGATTGGCAATTACATATTTTTTAATATATCTATTTTCTATATCATCATAAAAACACATTTTAATATATATATATATATATATATATATATATATATATATATATATATATATATATATATATATATATATATATATATATATATATATATATATATATATATATATAATATATATATATATATATATATATATATATATATATATATATATATATATGTGTGTGTGTGTATATATATATATATATATATATATATATATATATATATATATATATATATATATATATATATATATATATATATATATATACATAATATTACTGTTATAGAAACCAACTTATTAGTACAACATTTAAAATGGACTTATACGTACTTATAAATTCAGCTTTCATGTAAACAGAACAAAATTATAAACAAAACGGATTAGTCACGTGTTTAAAATATCCGTGTGACAAAATTATCGCGATATATTTGGCGCACTGGTAATAGCAATATTCCAGGGCTTAATGTCAGTGCATCTGCACTGGTAATAGATTTTACAGAAGAAGTTAAATTAAAACTAAAATGACTGGTAAAATAGTTTTTTTAGTATAATGTTTTTTTTTTAATAAACTGTTTTAGTTTTGTCATTAGTCTTATTAGAACATTTTAAGCAAGTATTGTTTTATTTTTTAAAGCAGTTAAGAGAAGCTGGTGGCTTTTTTAGAAAGTTTAATTCTTTTTTTTATTTGTAGATTAAGATTGTTTTTTGTAAAAAGAGTTAAATATAAAATAAAGTTTTATGTATGTATTTAATATATAAATGTAAATAAAATTAGAATGTTATTTATGTTCATGTAAGTTTATATACATAAGTTTGCCTTTATTTTAGTCTATTTTGTATTTCTCTATATCTATATTATATGTATATTTTCTCTTAGCAAAAATAATTGAGAATAGAAAAAAAAAAAAAAAAATTTCTGGAATTTGGCAAAAGAGTGTTGTGTTATGCTTCATTTTAAGGTATCTAAATATGTATTTATTTTTCATTTTTTAGAAGAGCTAAATTGACTGGTAAAATAGTTTTTTAAGTACAATGTTTCTTTTTTAAGAAAACTGTTTCAGTTTTGTTGTTAGTCTTTTTAAAATATTTTAAGCAAGTATTTGTTTTATTTTTTAGAGCAGTTAAGTGGAGCTAATCGTTTTTTTAAAAAGTTTACTTTATTTTCTCATACATGGATTAATATTTTTTTATAGAAAGAATAATGAGAATAAAATTTTATTTATGTGTTTGATATGAAAAGTTAAATTAAATAAGACTGTTATTTGTGGTCATGTAAGTTTATATACATAAATTTGCGTTTATTTCAGTCTATCTATGTATATTTTCTCTAAGGAAAAATAATAAGGAATAAAAAAATTAAGAAAATTTCTTCTGGAAGTTGTCATAAACGTGTTGTGTTATGCTTCATTTAAAGGTATCTGAATATGTATTATTAAGAAAATTTTAATTTTGTTCTTAAATGGTTTCATCTTTTTCATTACTTTAGATAAATATATACTGTGTATATATTTATAAAAATGAATAATAGGTAGTTTCATTACTAGAACTCACTGCTTTTATTTATTTACTAAAAGTCGTTCAAGACCATTTTTTTTATCATGAAATAACAATATTTAACAACTACTATTCAGGTATCACAACAGTTCTATCAGATATATTAATTTTCAATTCGTTTATGATGTTTTTCTTTGTATTTAATTATTGGTTACATTTCTTAACTTCAGATTCATCATGAAATGTTTTTATGTGATATAGAAGAACAAATATCTACTGATAATTAGTCCAGTCAACATTTAAAGTTCATTGTTCCATTTTTAAGTAGTTTCTAGGCTTTTTTAAATGCTTTTCTTATTCAAGTGGTTTTACAAGCAAGCTCTGCAAGCAAAATTGAGCTGAAAAGCTTTTCAGCTTTCAAGGAGAATTAATGTTGTTCTCTGTTTAATTCAATTTGTTTGAAAAATAGTTTTAATAAATAAATGTTTGTTTGTCCTTGGTTTTTTATTTATTTACTTCCAGACTCTTACCCAGCAAACACACAAACGTTTATTAGACGTCGAAACAACGTTTAGATAACCGTTTAAGTTTGGTCGATTATACATTCAGAATGAAATCCAGATTAACGTTTAGACCAAACCTCCATAAAACGTTTAGATTCCAACGTATTTTCGATGTCTATTATAGGGTTATTAAAGGTATATAAAGCGTATATTATACATATATAATGCGTTTAGATATAGTCTAATAAACGTATATGAAGCGTTTAGATTTAGTCTAATTAAACGTTAAGATCTAATTCAATAAACGAATTTAAGGGTATAAATTAGTATAATTCTAAACGCTTAGATCTAGCCTAATAAACATATATATATATATATATATATATATATATATATATATATATATATATATATATATATATATATATATATATATATATATATATATATATATATATATATATATATGTTTACTAGGCTAGATCGAAGCGACTAATATACGCTGAATTATACTAAATTTAAACACTTTACATTCGCTTATTAGAATAGATCTTAACGTTTAATAAATATATATATATATATATATATATATATATATATATATATATATATATTATATATATATATATATATATTAATAATCTTATATACTTATCTTAAATAAACAAATATTTTGCATACTTTGGTAACTATTTACAACTTTTTCGATTATATTCCTTTTATACTATATATACCTATTATAAAGTTATGTAAAACCCTATAGTTGAGATTTATCAAATAAATGGCGGGAGGAGGAGGGGGTGGGGGAAGAGAAGGAAGGAAGGAGTTTTCTCAATAATTTTAAAAAATTTAATCAAAGTAATTATTATTAGCACTAGCTAAGAATAATTATTGCGATTAAATTTTTTTAGCTAATTAATCTTAGCACTAGCAATATTGCAGTGACGTTAAATCCGTATAAAAAAGTCTATTTTACTCTGGTTTATGCTTTCTCAAAAATCTTTTAAGTATAATGTCCAACGCATGTTCATCGTGCACCGGTTCTTGTTCGTCATGCGCCCGCTCTTTGTTATTCGGCGCCGGTTCTTGATCAACATCTTCATTCATACTCGTCTCCTGGTCGTCTTCCTCTACATTTTGATCATCATTAATAACGTTTTTTTTATTCTCAAAGATGTCTTTTTTTGGTCCTCCTATCCGCCATGAGGCCTGTTTTAAATATGCGGCTATAGCACTATCTGCTTGAGCTACAGACATATTGGGGAAATTGTACATTATAGAATCTAAAAAAAAAATTAACGAAGTTAATAATAAATCCATTATAAAATTTTTTACCCTCAGAATATATAAGCAACCAAACCAGTCTGAAAATAGACTATAAATAGTCTATTTTTATAACAGCAAAAAAACTGGGTTATAATAATTTGCATTTAAAATATGTGTTCAACATTAAAAAAAAAAAAAAACATTGAAAAATCAACATTGGAATTACCAACAACAACTTTACATATAGAGGATCTTCTGAATGGAACTTTCCCAAAATTTCCTCGGCCATCCATGTTCATTTGCGACATCAAAGAATTAGTAAAAAGTCGCGACTTAATATACGCATTAGTCTTTCCCAGATCTGATTCACCAATTTTCTTTAGCAAATGTAACTAAAATTAAAAAAAATAAAGTCAATTCTTGATTATGGCAAAGTCGAATAGCTATTTTTATACAATCATTATAAGTTTATAAAACTTACCAAAAGAGTACTTGCAGCAGGACTTTAACAACGAAAAGCCAACGACTTGTATTGTTCAACTGTGTCAATGGGGCCATCACTAATTTCCAAAGAGTCCATTTAGTTGTTAGCACTTAGTAAAGCAGTTGGCATCGATTGTCGCTCAAGGAGCTTTTTAACTTCCAAGATTTCTATGGTGAGTTGTGACAGTTTGAAGAGAACTGACTTCTGGAATTCTGAAATTCAGTTAAGCTATTAAAAGCATCATATCTTAAAAATATAAGTTAATAAAATTCGATCTATGCAAATAATTACAATATATAGTTCAATACAATTTTATTTATTACATTAAAACATTATTTTAATCCATATTTAAAAATAATTTTTTACTTACTTGCAATTAATGGATCGGTGCTTTTACTTACTTCATTGGATGCACTATTTCTTGATTTGACTGTAGAAGAATCACTAGCTACTGTTTTTAGTGATCTGTTAGTGCAAACGGACTTGGGTATTGACCTAATCAGTTGGTTTGATGGTGTTGACGTGACTGGAATTCGCAGACGTGACTGGGTAGATTTTGGTGTTGACCTGATTGGTATGTTTGATGCAGCTAACAGAAAACATGATTGGCTAGATTTTTTGGGTACAACTAGGTTATGTATTGTTGAAGGTAGTTGTGACTGAGAGGTTTTAATGCTTGATGTAAGCTTTGGATGAGCAAGAAAACTTTGACAGACTGAATAAGTGGTAGATTTAATTTGTCTACAATGTAAACGTGAACTTAGTTTGCTGAGCGCTTTTGGATGAGTGGGGAACTTGGACAACTCTTCTAAAACAACAACAAAATATAACTTTTGAGTAAACTGTTGCAAAGGACTTTCATTTTGACAACAAACAAACTAAAACTAATTATTATTTATTTAATGGTAATGACAAAAGGATTGACATCACTTATTCAATAGACTATGAAAATTGTAAAAGCTAAAACAAAACATTCTTAATCAGACATAAAACCTCACCATTGGAATCGTGTGGATAATTGTTGTCATCACTATCTAAAATATGAAAAAGTGATACTAAGCATTTTAAAGAATGAATAAAAAGCGTTTTAAAACAAAGACTTTTTTATTAAAAGGATCCCTAAGTACTATTAAAATATGATTTCATATTAAAAAATTTATAATTCTCGCTAAAACATAATAAAAGTGTATATATTAATGAATTTGTTTTCAAAAATGATTATAAATTATAAACTAAGATAATTCTAAACTAAAAAACAAAAATTAGTTTTTTGATATTGTCAAGATTATTATTATACTATATTTCGTGTATATAAACTTTCACAAACTTTCCTTCGGTTTAATAAATATTTTTTAGAAATTGCACTAAATTTTAAGATTTCCATAAGTTCTAATTAAACTATTACTACATTTAAGTTTTATTATTATTTTTCCTAACAAATTTTTACTTTTTAAACAATAAATAAATGTTAGTAGATATTCAGAAGTTGTTAAACCGAATTTATACTTTCTAAACAATAAATAAATGTTAGTAGATATTCAGAAGTTGTTAAAGCTTGCCATTTATATAAATAAATGAGTTTCGATATGAAATATTTACAATTACAGTTACATTTAAAACAGCGTAGTTTTAAAAAGATATTAGCAAATACTTTTTGTTAGTATGAATTTATTATTACAATTTATTAATATATATATATACTTATATATATATATATATATATATATATATATATATATATATATATATATATATATATATATATATATATATATATATATATATATATATATATATATATATATATATATATATACATATATATATATATATCCCTTGCTTTTTATTTTTAAATAAGATGTCAGGAGTATTTGGAGATCCCTTTAAGAACTTGTAAACCACAATAACTCCACTCTTATCATCATTATACTAGTATTAAGTCTTATTAAATGTTTTGTGTATTAAATTTTAAATATAAATAATTTAAAATCACTGTCCGGTTATTTTAAATTATCAAACAATTTCACCTTACCATCTGAATTTTCTACAAAGTTTGTCAGTAGCTTTCTTTTTTTTATTTGTTTCTCCACAAGAGGTTCATCAATGCCTGTTGATGTTGTATATTCAAAATTTTCAGATTCCTGAAAGCTATCTGGAAATGTAATACTCAAAATACAGTTGTGCGCTATTTGTTTGAACAAATAATATATATATATATATATATATATATATATATATATATATATATATATATATATATATATATATATATATATATATATATATATATATATATATATGCAAAAACAACACCGAGACATAATTTTTTAACGAACAGAGTGATACCTCATTGGAATGCTTTACCTGAAAAAGTGGTTTCTGCAATGACAGTAAATTCTTTTAAAGCTAGACTAGATAAATATTTGTTAACGGCTGTTAAAGTATAAGTTTTAAACTTTATACTCCGCGACAATCATCGTTACAGCAGTTTGTATTACTATTACTATATATATATATATAATATATATATATATATATATATATATATATATATGTACATATATATATATATATATATATATATATATATATTTATATATATATATATATATATATATATATATATATATATATATATATATATATTTAATATATTTATATATATATATTTAATATATATAAATAATATATATATATATATATATATATATATTATTATATATATATATACATATATATATATATATATATATATATATATATATATATATATATATATATATATATATATATATATATATATATATATATATATATATATATTATTTATATATGTACAAATAGTATTGCGTACTAAGGTAAGCAATTTGACGTCATACTGAAATAGCTTGCTGCTGGGGGCTTCAGTACATACATCGACTGACAAATAGCCTGACTCGCAATAGAGTGCTGCTACATCGACTGTGGGTTTGGGATGGGGCAGCAATGGTTTCATTCGTCATTCTTTTTCTTCTTTTTTTAAAAAAGCCGTATGGATAAAGGTAAGCAAAAAAAGTGATCATATGCTTATAAAAATACGCTTTAGTAAGTGTCTCTATATATATATATATATATATATATATATATATATATATATATATATATATATATATATATATATATATATATATATATATATATATATATATATATATATATATATATAGCCCCTTTTTTGCAATATCCTCATTAGTCACCAGTTTTGTTTTGGTATGTTTATGGCGGTTTTCTGAATAGTAGATACCTACAAGTGTTGAAGAACATGGTTCTATAAAAAAAGTTTGTAGATAGGAACAGTCAAAAAGGCAGCAAAAATATCCATTTGTTCTAACTTCTATAAACTGAGCATAAGTGTTATTTTTACGCAACACTATTGAGTCTCTAAGAAGTGTTGATAGCCTCCATTCTCGAATATGTTCAATATTTTCAGATTCTTCAATCCTCTTAGCAACTTGGACAAGTGGGTTTTTTGGTGTCCGAACATGCTTTTTTAGTGTTTGGAGAAAATTCTCAAACGGAAAAGCACTAATTTCATCAAGGATAAATTAAAAAAGCGTATGTCATCTGCTAGGTGGAGTAAATTATGAACATTATACACAACAAAATTATCTCTATAAAACTTTTGACAGTGTCCGAACATGTTCTAATAGTTTTTGTGTATACTCAAGATATTGAACTCGTTTATCTTTTTCAGGTGAAAGCAAAATAGTAACAGCAACAGAAAATGTTAAAAAATATTTGTACAAATCTGGTTTTAATTTGCTCTTTAATGTAACTTGACCTTTATATAACAAGAATCGGCGGAATTCTGTAGCCTTCCACCTATCCAATTCAATCAGTCCCCGAGGGCGCCTTGCAAACTCACTAGGGATGTACTTTCTTAATTCAAGGAGGTTTTCAGATATATTCAAAATTTGACGGCATCATAATCTTACTACTCTATCTCCTTTTTTCAAAAATTGAAGCATTCGTCTAATCACACCCAAACAAACTAAATGCATGTAGTTCAGAGAAAAAATGCCTAAACAGTTATTTATTATTTGTACTAATGGTGTTGGACCAGGTTGGTGACTATTAACATATGCCAAGTTGAAGAATTTATCTTCAGTGCGTCTTTCTGCATTAAAACAACCTGAGTTAACAAATATTGTACGATGATTAACTGACAATCCAACTGCACAACATCGTTCACACCCATGCAAACTGTTATGACCTTTAACATTTTTTAAAAAAAGCCCTAGCCGGTGAATCATATAAATGACTGCAATAAAAGGGTATAAGTTTTTTCATTATAACTAAATCCATGCTTTTGGAGTTCCTTAACCTCATAAATAAAATCTTGCAAAAAATCATCTACAGAGTTTGGTTTAGAATTTCCACTGAAAAGAGCAGCAATCATAGGAGTAGAATTATTTATCGAACACAATATTGGCCGAAACTGTAAGCTAGATGATTTGTACAAAGGTATACCATCCACATTTACTTTCAAGTTCAGAATTTCATTACTGTCATCTATTTCTAAAGATTGTGTGATGATTTTTCGAAGCCCAAAATACAAATAGTCACCACCACATTTTTTGTATGTAACTATTGTTCTTGTGCTTTTTACAAGAGTTCGACTGTCCTTTGGAACATCAAAACCATGCTTCCGCAAGACACTAAGCACTCCGTTCACTTGAACATGCGTCATTTTACTTGTAACTGCCAAATCAGCCAAATCGTTTCTCAAACTTTCTTCATTGCTACTATCTGATCCTGCATCACCTTCACTTTCCGAGCTACTAGTAACTGAACTCAGGTTATTAGTTTCAAAATCATCCTCATTATAGTCGATATCACGTAACATCTCAATATTATCCTGTTTCACAACTTCTTCAGCATTTGAAAAACTCCCCATTTTCTTTACCACCTTTCGATATTTTCTTTGGTACTCTGAAGTCATTTTCTATCAATAAAATGCACTGTATACCTAATTTAAAAGTAACACAATAAAACATTGAATTTTTTTAGGCAAGTACTACTTGCTTAGTAGGTACATTCAAAATGTGTTGAAACAATAAACTAAAGAGAAGATTAACAAAACAAAAAACATATATATATATATATATATATATATATATATATATATATGTATATATATACATATATATGTATATATATATACATATATATGTATATATATATATACATATATATGTATATATATATATGTATATATATATATATATATATATATATATATATATATATATATATATATATATATATATATATAAATATATATATATATATATATATATATACATATATATGGGAGCGCGTCGAATAACCGAAAGACCAATTCCGACGATTAGTCGATCCCAAATCCAAAATTTAGGGTATCGACAAATAGTCGATACCCTAAATTTTGTCAATTTCTGTGTTTTAGTCGAATTCTGCCACTATCTGTTAAATAAACGAATGACAAATACCTGTTTTGAGTCGAATTTTTTCTGAAGAATTGGTGGACTTGTTAAATCATCGAAATACGTATTGGCAAAGAATACAAACAGTCGAAAATGTTTTCGGCTATTATACGGGTATGCCACTATTTTTAGTAGAAAGACAAAAATACATTGTCCAAGTCCGTTAACCAGTCGAAATTAAAATTCGGCTATTCTCTGTGACTGCCACATAAACCAGTCGACGGCTATAAAAATTTGGCAGCGTCATCAAAAGAGTCGAATTTAATTAAACCGGTCAAAAAATTAATTAAACCATCCAAACCATCGAATTTCGACTATAACCACTAGCCTGTACGTATTTTGAGTCGAAATGTCAGGGTTTTTTTTGAAATAAAAACATTTGTTTTAACCGTCAATCACTTCTTATTTATTTACAAAGGTTTAGGATTGTGAATATTCTCACAATCCGGAGTAGTTTTACTATGAATATGTATATGAATTACCATACATAGTATTACGGTAATACGGTTTATAAAATGAATGGGCCGTCGCCTCAATAGCCCTAAAAAATGGTAATGTCTGAACCTGCGCGAACGCATCAGTTCATCATTGGGTACGGACCTTTGTAAGGGCCCGGAGGCAAAGTTGTCTGAAAGTTTTATCCAGGCCATCAATAACGCATCCATCCATCGATTGGCTACAGTTTGTTTTTGCCTTTAATTTTGTTGTTACCTGGATGCAAGTTACTTCTCGTTGTCGTAATATTACTAATGGTCAGTTCATTTGATTTAATTCAAGTTTAAATTCAGTAGATTATCAAAGAAAACATAAATACTTGGTCTATCTCATTAGTTGCGATGTGCGCCATCTGTTGATCTTGAAGATCATGGACAAGTCCATAGATAGCGCCCTCTGGAGATAGATCATAAAAATGACAAAGGTTGATGGCACAGGTCCCGGCAAATGTCGAGACCATTAAATATAAGCAAATAACCATTAGGTTCTATTCGCCATTAAGGAAGATACTTTACACTATGACAATCACATTAACCGTCTATAACGTATAATACTAAACCAATGAGTATTTTACTATTTTGAATACATTTCATACATTACTACTTTAAAGTACAGGCAGGGTCTTCGTAACTAATAGTATGGAGAATGGATAATTTGCTAAAAGTTATGTTGACAGTGGGGCCATAGTTAATTAAATAGTTTTTATTTAATTAAAAATGGTTTAGTAATTCCAACGCCATTTCACAAAAAAAGAACAAGGTTTAAGATTGTGAATATTCTCACAATCTCAAAATATGGATTTTTCTTATTACTCAAAAAAAATAAAAACAATCTCGACCTGGCATCGGATTCGAACCCAGGACCTTTCAATCATGGGGCCGGTACTCTGCTGCCGATGCCAGCTTGAGATCGCAAAATTTATGAATGGTTTTAACACAATGATAAAAGACAAATAAAAGAAACATGGTTATGAATCATTTATTGTACTTATTATGCTTACGAACAACTTATTTTCTTCCGGCTTGCATTTGTCTGACTTTTCTTGAGACAATACGTCTTTTGTCGACTATTTAATTGGCGGTGTCCTTCAATCCTCTTTCTAATAGAAGCCATTTGTGAAGTTCTGATTTGTTTCTTTGGTTTTGTCTTTCGGTTTTGTTTTTCTGGCAACTATACGTCTTTTGAAGTAAAATTTCCTTTCAATCTTCTTCAGTACTCTGTCGACTTGAAGCCAGATCTCAAGGGGTCCCATCTCAAGCCTGTTAGCTGTAGTGAAGTTGTTCAGTCCTTTTTCAACTTCAAGCCTGTCCTGAATCAGGAGGTCTTCAAATAGTGGGTCCGGTGCAATGCTTGTTGTTTCTGTAGTATTTATGACTAGCCAAAGACCAAAGATGTTCATGGTGAAAAAATTTAGCTTCAACTACAAATAGTTAACTGTTCATCTGAATAACGCGGATAAACTGGCGTACATTTAGCGTTAGCATCTTATCAGTTGTCCAAAGTAAATATGAGTTACGAATAACTCCCCCCAGATTGAGCACAGTGTTTTGAAAAATAAAAAAAACAGATCAACCGCTTGTGAAACGGCCTATTTTTCGCTGGGGGGAGTTTGTACAAATCAGCTGACCAGTTTATCCTGACCCATTAATTCCCTTAGTCCCTTAAGGCATTTCTCTCTCTCTCTCTTTATGAATGTTTTTTTGAAGAAAAAACAAAACCTAAATTTCGAATCCCTGTCAGGACTCGAACCCCGGTCGTTCGGGTGAGAAGCGAGTACTATAACCACTAGACAGGAACCCCAAAAAGGTTCCAAAAAATGAAGTATTTTACAGAGACCCTTAAGGGGTTAGCCTACAAAAGTTTCTTCTTCACCCGCGGTACAAAATGTACAAAACTCGGGAAATCATAAAAGTGTTATCAAAGGTACAATCTATTTATTTAGTCAATTTATAAGAAAAATACATGAAAAATGAAAGTAGATTTAAAAATAATAGGAAATAGAAAGCCATTTTCAGTCAATTTTTTCAGGCGTAGAACAGCCGATGTCGCGAAGTAACCCGTGTCGTACATACGGAGCACAAATAGACGCCCTCGGGTTCATCGTCAAGTCCTTGGGCTTCAAGAAGGGCTGTACATGTTGAACACACGCAGACATGCCCGCACGGCAGTAGTATTGTGTCCTTGGGGCTCGCCATGCAAATGCAACACGGTTCTGCTGCTGGACCTGCGGCGGCGTGACCCGGTTGTTGTTGTCCATCTGCCTGTGGCCCTGCGGCTGCCAGGAATGCGTCATCATCTCCGTGTCTGAAAGTATTGAACACATTTTAAAGATAAGTTATTAATGAACACATTTTAAAGATAAGTTTCATATGAAATTAATCAACATCGTATTATAAATAGAAATTACTAGAAAATGATTGAAATTATACTTGCTATACATACTCGTCAAAGACTTCGTCGTCGCCATCCTCATCATCGGCGTAGCCATTTCGGCGGCGGCCATTTCTGCTGCCAGCTCTGCATCGGCCTCATCCTGATCTGGGTCATTCGGAAGAACCGGAGTGGGCACTCTGTGGGCCATAAAATGGAGGTGTTAAATGGGGGTGATTTCCCCATTGGCCAGTCGCTCCTCCTGATTCTTCACAGTTCTGGCCGCTACCTGGTTCAATAATTTGATGTTCCTCCGGATCCTGATGTTGTTGTCCAACTGTAGGACATCGATCTTTGCTGGCTCGATGACGAACATCCTCAGATCTGAGAGGAATCTCCAGATTGTCAATGCCTTTGCCAGCTTCAAAGACATTCTGAAAAATTTGGGAAAAGTTATAAATAATGAACAACAAAAATAACCAGATCGTGAATATTTTCACATTGTTAACTCAAAAATATTGTTAAGAAATAACTCACTTCTTATGGAGACTTTCGCAGACGTTGTTGGTCTTATGTGCAAGACCGTACGTAGAGATCAACTGGGGTCCGATGTCTTGGAACCACCACTTTAAGAAGTAATTCCTGTGCATTATCTGGACTTGCTTCCGGAGCCTGAGTGGTTGTAAGTGGAGCACTTCTTGCTTCAGCTGTTGGAATACCGGTACCATTTGGTTTGCCGGTAGAGTGCTTAGGGCCATGTGTTTGAGCATCAGATTCCTAAACTCAACATTTTTATAGAAATTCTCCTTGTTGCGAGCACACACTTTCCGGAGAACTAAAAAGAAGTAAATAACAAAGAAAAATAACGTGTTAAAAATCAATCAAATGGTTAAAATATTATTTACCTGCTTGGCTGAAGTGAAATCTGCATCCAGACACTCTCGATTCCGGAAAGGCAGTTTGCATGGTGTTCAGGATCGCCCGTTCGTAGTCCGACATCACACTTTTTGGCTTGAAGTCCGATCCAACCAAAGCTTTGAACCGCTCCATGATCTGGCCGTAGAGTGCTTGCTCCTTGCATGTCATTAAGACATGCATCACCGCGACAGAGTAATCTTTGAAGATGACAATGATGTTCAACAGTTGAGAAAATATATCGTGGTGAGGTCGTGTTTTAAAGGTGGCATCGACGAAGAGTTCTTGAGTCTCTGAAACAAATACCCAAAATTATAAATTTGCTTAAAAGTAATTGTACAAAGATAAAAAAGTTGTTGTATCTAACCCCTTTAAAACAATTTAAAATTACCCAAAATGATAAATTTGATAGAACATAGTATCAAAACAACTCGCAAATTAAAGCAGTGTACTCACTTTCAACGAGAGCGAGAAGTTTTGGGTCTGCAAAAATAAATCCGACCTTCCCATATTCGAATTCGACGAAACCTTGGTAGATGTCTTCGAACGGATGTCCATTGTCGAGAGCTTCCTTCATTTTTGCCAGATTCTTGGGAATCGGAGGCAGGTATCATTGTTGATGAAAATCTATCATGGAAGAATCACATCGGACATTTATGCAACAAAATTGCAAAAAGCATTGGAGTTTTATATAAAGCAAGAAGCGTTTTAAACAAACATTCACTAACTCAACTATAATACTCTTTTATACACTGTCATATTAATTATGCTAATATTGCATGGGGTAGTACCCATAAAAGTAAATTAAAGCCACTTTATTGTCAGCAGAAGCATATTGCACGTATTATAAATTTCAAAAATCGTTTTACTCACTCAAGGTCACTTTTATTTAACATGAATGTTTTTAATATATATCAAGTAAATGTTTATAATGTTCTTTGTTTTATGTTTAAATGTAAAACCAACTCTTCTCCAGCTTCCTTTTTTGATTTATATTCTTTAAAAAAAAAAACAAGTATTCTTTAAGAAATGATAATTTTATTAAACAACCAAAATTTCAAACAAACTTTGGTAAATTTTGAATTTCTTTTCGTGGAGCTTTTTTATGGAACCAAATAATTTTAAAAAATTTTGGTTGTTCTCATGAATGGAATTATTATATGTTCAAACGAAAACTAAAAAAAGTAATATTCTCAATTGAAAATATATTTATATACTTTAAATTTTACCCAGTTTTGTCAACACTCATTTATATTTTACTTTTATACAATATTGATTTAAAGTTTATGTCAGAAACTGTAGTTAAACATCATTATTTGAATTTTGTTAAAAGTTCTACTGACATTATTTGTACAGTAGGAATTTAGTATTTACTTGTTTACTTTAATTTTTATTTTATTTCGTAATTTTGTAAATAATTTGTATTACGAACGGTATATACTTTTAATATTGAATTTAATTTTGTTATGAAAAATATATATATATATATATATATATATATTATTATTAAAAAAAAACAAAAAAAATACAAAAAAAAAAAAAAATACAAAAAAAAAAAAAAAGAATACAAAAAAAAAAAAAAATACAAAAAAAAATTTGATGTTTGTGACTGGATGTATCTGCAAACATTGTATGTATGATACTTTTGGAAGTTAATCATCCTTTGACAGTGGTTTAGCATTTTTGTCGGCGAAAGCGTTAACGTAAATGCACCAACATTTAATAATTATGGCTTCTCACACAATGACACCATCATTTGGCTATCTACATTCTTCTACACAATCTTTTGGACAATCTTGAAGTGCATTTGGATGTACCTAGTGCAATCATATTCTTATTATTTTCGTTTACTTATTAATTAATTAACAATTAAGATCAAAAAAAGGTTCTTCCTCCGCTTCTTCCTCATGATGGACTCGGCAGCCTCGAACTTGAGGTTTTTCTTCACGGCCTCAGTCGACTGGCTAAGGACAGAGTTCCAAATGTCCCACAACGGTTCGGTAGTTTGCCCTAGAATAAAATGAATTTTTAATTAAAGATTTTAATTAAGTTAAAAATGTTAAAATTCGATTATTCACATTGGCAAACATATGTTTTCAGTCGAAATATGGCTTAATAAAAAATTCAAAAACAAATATCACCAGCTCGAAATTTCATCCGTGCCTTGGCCTGCAAAATAAGGTACTCATCACTCATGTCGCCACATGAGTGATCCTTCCCCAGGTACAGGGTATTGTCCTTAATCCTTGCAGTACCACCACATGAACCTAACAGGGTTAAATGGGGATCCCGTTAAATGTTAAGATACAATCATGATAATGGTAATGATAATAATTCTAAAATCGTGAATATTTTCACGAGTTAAAAAAAAGTATCCTATTAAACAATTAAAAATTACCTATTTTCACCGTGTAGCGATGGCACTTTAGATAAGTCGTTGGTCGAGCGTCTGTGCCATCCTTCGACAGCACATACGCTTTTTGGAACTCGTCGAACCAGATAGTTAGGGAGCCTTCCATTTCATATCTGGTGTAGTTCCGGACTTCAACAACATTATGAAAGCGAGCTGGTCCAACCACTGGTTCTTGCACTTGAGCCTCTGGTGCTTGTCGAGGCTCGACCTCCATCGGCATCGCAGCCTTCACCTCCTCGACCTTCATTGCAACAGGTGCCTGAGCTTCGACCTCCTCAACAGTGTCGTCTAGCCTCAATTCGAATGCAGACGTTCAACCACAGACATCAAAAGCCGTCACGAAAATGGTTGCTATTTCATTGTTGGTAACTAATTTTTTTTTAAGTACAAATTGTGGTAAACTATTTTCAACGTTTAACCACAGACTTCAAAAGTGTTGGGAATTAATTAGACAAAAGCTAAAATCTAAGATGACCCATACAAATACAACGCGACACATGTACCCTTAAGGGGAAAAAATATATATATATATAAAACCTAATAACCTACTCAGTACTCGAACATAATAATATGAAGTCATTGTACTTACAAGAATTTATGTTATGTAAATAGGTAGATAATACTAAGTCAAAGCCAAACATGTATAATTGAGTCCTAGTATAAGGCTAAGTACATGGCTAAGTAATAAATTCAAAACAAAAAATATAAAATACGAAAATTATAAGCTGTTACTCATTAAAGTAAGTAATAATAAATCAAAAGAAGATAAAGTTAACTGTAATAAAATATCACATCCGCCTAAAATATTACATCCCCCATAAAAAAAATGAAAACAAGAACGCGCTTTTGAGTCATTGCACTTAGAAGTGTATCAAATACGTCCGAAACATTCAATTATAAACAATATAATTAAAACGAGATTCATAAAAACGTTTTTTTACTAATATACTATAAATGAAGTTAGCATAAAATGGTAATATATTTTAAATTCTTATTTATAATATTTTGATCGTAATGTATTGTGTGACAATAGCGTAGAAGAAAATTACACATTAGGGATACTTTATGTAATAAAAATAACAATCGTTTGCAATATTTTAGAAGCCTGCATAGGGGGGATGTGATATTTTAAGCAAGAATTCTAGTTTCTTTTTGTGACATATAAAGAAATAACAAGTGGTGGATGTTATATTCTATATACCAAATACTAATTGTTTAAAATACTTTATAAACTACTTTGGGGAATGTAATATTTTAGAAGTAGACGTCGGAGGGATGTTATATTTTAAGTAAGAATTTCAGTTTCTTTTTGTAACATATACAGTGAATAAGCCGAGGGGATGTGATATTCTAGATACCAAATACTAATCGTTTGAAATATTGTATGAATTACTTAGGGGGATGTAATATTTTAAAGGTAAACATAGAGGGGATGTGATATTTTAAGTAAGAATTTCAGTTTCTTTTTGTAGTGCATACAGAATTTGCAAGTGATAAATCTTATATTTTAAACACTAAATACTAACCATTTGAAATTTTGTATGAATTACTTAGGGGATGTAATATTTTAGAGATAAAATATGTGATATTTTAAGTAAAGATTGGGGATGTGATATTTTAAGTAAAGATTTAAAGTTTCTTTTTGTGACATATACAGTGAATAAACCGAGGAGATGTGATATTCTAGATACCAATTACTAATTGTTTGAAATATTGTATGAATTACTTAGGAAGATGTAATAATTTAAAGGTAAACATAGCGGGGATGTGATATTTTAAATAGCAAATATTAATTGTTTGAAATATTGTATGAAATACTTTAGTGGATGTAATATTTTAAAGGCAAACTTAGAAGGGATGTAATACTTTTAGTAAAAATTTCAGTTTCTTTTTGTGACATATATAGCAAATAAACCGAGGGGATGTGATATTCTAGATACTAAATTCTAATCGTTTGAAATATTGTATGAATTACTTATGGGATGTATTACTTCAAATGTAAACATAGAGGGGATGTGACATTTTAAGTAAGAATTTAAGTTTCTTTTTGTGGTACATACAGAACTTACAAGTGATGGATGTGATATTCTAGGTACCAAATACCAATCGTTTGAAATATTGTATGAATTATTTAGGGGGATGTAATATTTTAGAAGTATTCATTAGGGGGGATGTGATATTTTAAGTAAGAAGTTCAGTTTCTTTTTGTGACATATACATAGAATCTACAGGGGGATGTGATATTCTAGGTATCAAATACTAATCAATTGAAATATTGTATGAATTACTTAGGGGGATGTATTATTTTAAAAGTATACATAGGGGGGATGTGATATTTTAAGTAAGAAGTTCAGTTTCTTTTTGTGACATATGCATAGAATCTACAGGGGGATGTGATATTTTAAATAGCAAATATTAATTGTTTGAAATACTGTATGAATTACTTAGGGGAATGTAATATTTTAAAGGTAAACATAGAGGGGATGTGATGTTATAAGTAAGAATTTCAGTTTCTTTTTGTGACATATGCAGAGATTCCACAGGGTAGATGTGATATTTTAAATACCAAATATGAATTGCTTGAAATATTGTAGAAAAGTACTTAGGGGGATCTTATATTTTAGAAGTATACATAGGGGGGATGTGATATTTTAAGTAAGAATTTTAGTTTCTTTTTGTGGTACAAACATAATTTGCAAGTGATGAATGTGGTATTCAAGGTAGCATTTACTACTCATTTGAAAAATTTTATGAATTACTTAGGGGGATGTAATATTTTAAAGATATACATAGGCGGATGTGATATTGGGTAATATTTTAGAAACCTGCATAGGGAGATTTGATATTTTAATTTAGAATTTTAGCTGTTATTTGCAAAATGTGCAGAGATTACTCAAACAGTCTTTTTTAAATTTTTTTTTAGATTTAATTGAGCTAACAAGTTAAAAATGTATTATTGTTCAATCAATTCATATGTATGCCAACATATGAATTAACTTAGTTGATTTACACAAAATAATATGTATGCCGACATGTAATCTATGCCGAATGTAAAATATGCCGAAATATGTAAAATATTCCGAATATGTATGCCAATGATTTACACAAAATAATATGTATGGCGACATATGAATTGGCAGAATTATGAAGGCTTCCGACAATTTAAAGTATTATAACAATACAAGAAGTCACTAAAAATAGGGAGAAAAAAGTTTTCACCTTTTTGTGTTTTTATCTGTAAGGGCATAAACATTTAAATTGGTTCAATTTATGACAAAATTTTGAAGAAAAAAAAATGACTGCAATTTTTAAAGTTTTATTTATTATTACATTTATATATATATATGTTCACAACAAAATAAAGTTTCATTTTTAAAAACAATGCATCTTATACGGTACCATCGATTTGGATGCAAATATC